TGGATGCCAATAAGTACTGGTGCAGGGGCAGCAGCTGGCTTTCCTGCTCCATCCTCGTTCAGACCACGGTCCTCGGGGACAAGGCATGGGGGGACAGGGTCTCCCTACAAGATGACCGCACTCGGCACATGTTCGTGGTGACCATGGAGAACCTGACAGTGGAGGATGGGGATCGGTATTGGTGTGGGATCCAGCTAGCCTGGTATGACCCCATGTTCCCCGTCAAGGTGTCTGTTCTCCCAGGTAAGTGCCTGATGTGGCCATTCTGCTTTGATGGAGGCTGGAAGGGCAGAGGGAATGGAGAGAGGGGAGGCAGGGGGAGAGGACGGGGAGAGCTGGGGATGGAACAAATCCCCCTCCCAGTTGCCTTTGGTGATCCCCCAGCATCCTCCACCTCGCTCCTGGGGGGCACACAGCCCCCCCGGGGCCATGCTTGGTGTTTCCCAGCCACCCTCCATCACTTCCCCGCCAGCAGCCTCCGGGGCCCTGAAACCCCCAGTCACCAACCTCAGCCATAGCCCAGAACCACAACCAGGTAACACGTACCACAGTGCTTTGCTTCCCATCTCTTTACACCACAGTGCCCACAACACCACACTATGACCTCCACATGACACAGGGGGAAGAGACTACATCTGCTCCCACCTTCCCATGGACTCCTCTGGATCTGGAAAACAACCTATCCACACCAAAAGTCAGAAGCCTGCAGGCTGGGTGAGTGCCAGGGCCACTGGGGAGGAGAGGGGCCATCTCCAGCGCAAGGACCGGGAAGCCCAAGGATGCAGCATCCAGCTCCAGCCTGTCCACAGGGCTTTGGGGCCAGCAGGGCATATCTGGAGAAAGCAAAATGTGATGCTAAGGGGGCTGCTGTATCCCTGCATGCCATAGGGCTGCACTGGTTGGGGCTCCCAGGGTCTTTGCCCAGCTCTCACAGGGCTGCTGGGGACCCCAACACCCCAGGCAGGTGTGTGCCACATCTGGGCACTTGTCCATGGAGGTGGGCAATGAATCTGTGCAGCTGGCTCATGCCAAGATGGACAGACTTTGCATGTACACGTGCACGGATCCCTGGCCAGGAAACCTGGGAGAAATCCTTGGAACAGACTTGCCAGCCCATGGAGTCTCATGCCCCCTGGGGCTGTGCTAAATACAGGCATGAAAGCCCTTCCCAGGGCACAGGGCTGCAGAGGGGCCAGTGCAGAAGGGCAGTAACACCCTTTTCTCCCCTCCTAGCACCCCAAACCTGCTTGTCCTGGTCCTGACCCCCTCCACTGCGCTGGTGCTGGTTTTGGGCATCATCATCTGCTGCAGGATGAGAAGAGCATCGCCAAAGAGGAGCAGAGGTACAAGTGATCGGGGGTCCCAAGCTGTAGCTCTCCTCTGCAGAGTGGCCATGGGGGTCCTCACTCTGCTCCCCAGCACCCATCCCCCCACCCCAGCGCACCACACACTGCCCTCCTGCTCCTGTCCCAGGGGTGAGCAGGGCTTGGGGTGAAAGCAGTTGGAGCCCTTCCCAGGACCCCAACCCACCGAGCCCCACAGTCCAGAGGGCTCTTGGCAAAATCAGGCCAGACCTGAGGTTGCACAGGGACTGATGGGACACCTATGGGGAAGGGCTCAGGACCCCCCAAAATGCTCTCCTTCAGCAAAGGGAGGTCCATGTCGGTCTGACCCATTTCTCTTGCTCTTCCCCCAGCAGCCTGGGCTGTGGAGAGGAAGAGGGACAAGGACCTCCAGGTACCGCGGGTGGGAGGGCAGTGGGATGGGGGTCTTGTGATGGCTCCTCCATGAGGGAACCACTGCCTGGAGCCCCCCTTGTCCTCAACACACCTCATCCCCTCCAGGTCACTGCAAGCTGGGAGCGAGCAGCTGCTTCCAATAACATCTACATGAACAGGGAGTCGGACCTCAGCTTGCCCGAGGATGACTATGAGAACAGCCCAGCCAAGTGTCAGGTAAAGGAGCTGGGGCAGCTCCCCGCGCACATGGCAAGTTACCCGATGGGTGCTCCTTGCTCCCAGCCCTGCAGCGAGGAGAAGCTGCCCTGCTTTGGGGTCACACTCCTTCCCCCACACCAGCCTTTCCCTTCCCTTTAGCAGCCTGTCCCAGGCAGCAGCTATCAAACCCTGTAGGAACAGGGTAGACACGAACTTTTAGGGCTCTAGCATAGGCAGACATGCAAACTGCCCCAAATCTTCACATTTCTCTCCCATTTCAGGACTTTGAAAAGGGAGACGAAGTTTCCATTTCCAGAGCTCCAGAACTGCAGCCGATCTACATGAACACACTCTGAGCGGCTCTGTGCTTGGCCCCTTGCTGCCAGAAAGCCCTGTGTTCGGGAACAGGCATCCCCTGCAGCTCTCCCACCATCCAGGGCGTGTTTCCCCACTGCTTCCCAAACTCTCTCTGCCTGTCCCATTGAGATTCCCTGCATCCTGCAAAAGCGACCCCCGTCCCCTCCATACCGCATGAGACTGGGGACCCCCATGTGCCACGAAGTCCTGCAGTGGGATGCACACGCCACCGGCCCAGCAGTGCTGTTTATCCCCACCCTGCCATGAGGTTATTAAATGAGATGAGATCAGAAGATCTGGGACGTGTTTAAAATATCCCCCAATCAGGAGTTAAAAGCCCGGCACCCCTGGTCCAGGCTGCGGGGAACCAGGGGACGTGATGCCTTGGCAACCCCTTCTCATCCTCCATGGTTCTTGTGCTCAGCAAGGAGCACGTGGGGAGTAAGGGCAGGTCAGCATCCGGTCAGAGACATGACCTCCGTCCCCTCCTTGGCCCCAAAGACTCCGAGGCACCCCAGCACAGAGATGGTGCTGCGGCTGATGCGGTCACCCCTGTTCCTACACAGCCCTCAGACTTCTGTTTCTTTATTTTTACCTGGCACCTCGTTCCCCTCCCCCTGGGTCTTTGCACAGAGTGAAGGGGCTGAAGAGCAGGCTGAGTTGGAGGGAGGGTCCTGAGGGAGCCTGGCTGCAGGGGGGGTCCCATCCTGCTCCAGCCCAGCCTCCCATGCAGACATCAGGAATTCAGCTGCGTATCCCAGGTCGGGGAGCTGCAGAAGGAAAAGGCCCCAGTTTGGGTAGGTCTCATCATCTACCCAAATATAACCACCCTTCTGCGAAATGGAAACCATGCAACTGTTTTAGAAAGAGGAAGAAAAACCACAAGGGTGGAAAGAAAAATAAATGGGGAGTTGCTCCACGAAGGGCCTGCAGACAGCTCGGCTCCATCCCTGCCCCACCACGGGCCAGAGGAGCTCCTCTGGGTGCCACTTGCTCGCCAGGGCAACCCAAGCCTCATCGTCTGCAAGAAGCTCCAGTGCCAAATGGGGAGTGGGAGTGCGGGGGGACCTGCTGCTTGGACCAGCTCCAGCAATGCAGCCCTGCTCCCAGTTTTCCCCTGCCCCCCAGCATTGTAATACCTGGGGTAAAAAAGCCAGAGGAAGAGGAGGAGGAGGAGGAGGAAGCCCTACCCCAACCACTCTGTCCCTGCAAGCACCATCGGCAGAGCCGACCTCCAGCCACACAGCCACAGCCCCCAGTGCTGTACAGCAGCTCTGGGCAATGTCTGGATCACTCCTGCTCCCCCTCTCTGAATGTCTCACATCTCCCACTGCCCCCCAAACCAGCTCGGTGCTGCAGACCCCAGCAGAACCCAGGGCTGGAGCCAGGCACCCACACCCCCAAGAGCTGGCAGGGCCCGGCATGTCCCTCAGCTGAAACGCAGCCCAGGGGCTGAGCTGACGCCCTCCCAGCGCCCGGGAGGCTGCGCCCATCCCGGCATCACTCCTTAGCCTGGCCAAGGGGGAGCACCAGGACACACAGCCTCCAGCACCCCCAGGAACACGAGGTGAGCTCTGCAAAGATCAAGCAAAGATTAAAGCTGCTGTGCCGGTTTTGCCTTGTTTTGGTGCTGGAAGCTCTGCTCAGCTCGTGTGCTCCAGCATCTCTCTGCAGCAGCCATTTGGGGTGAAGACCCCTCCCCTCCTAAACTCTCCTGCCAAGTGGGGTGCACAGGGTCCCACATCCCATTTCTGCAGCTGCCCACCCTCCCCGGTGTGCTTCAGATGTGCCAGTCTGCAAAAAGCATCTCAGCGGCTTGACACCTGCAGCAGAAAACCCCCAGCCCTGAGGTGAAGCCCGGCCAGATAAAAATAACCCGGCAGCAGAGCAGCCACCTCTTGCGTGAGAAAAAAACCAGTGAAAGAAGCTGAGAGCGCACATCAGCTCAGCGTCCCCCAGCTCACTGCCCTGTGCAGGAGGCTGATGTTCGCACATCTCCGGAGCAAAGCTGGATGATGGGGATACTGCCGGGCTGGGGCTGGCTCCTTCTCCCAGGTGAAGACAGGCTCCAACCACACCAGCGGTGCTCCGGTTCCCGCTGGAACCAGGGGGCTGGGGCTGCTGACCCCCCCAGGGGCACGGGCTCCACATTGGGCACCAACGGAGCCAAAGCCTCCCATCACCGCGGTCTATGTCTGGGGCTAAAAGCCGGCAGATGGGGTCTCCCCCAAAGTGCTGCTTTTCAAAGGGACCTGAGCAGGAGGGGCTCAGGGGAAGGCTGACTTTGCAGCCCTGTTTCTCTCCGATGTCACTGTGGTTTTCTTTGCAGTTTGCCAGGCTCTGGTTGTCCCCCGCGAGGTCAGCGGCCAGGTGGGGGGGGACACTCTCCCTCCACTGCTGGTACCCCCGGGGCTACGAGGGCTACAACAAGTACTGGTGCCGGGGAGCCAGCCAGGACTCCTGCCACAAGGTGGTGGAGACAGCGGGCAGGGAAGTGCCCCGGCAGCGCAGCCGGGTCTCCATCCAGGACAGCTACACCTTCTGCGTGGTCCAGCTCACCATGGAGAACCTCTCTGAGGCGGATGCTGGGAGTTACTGGTGCAGGGTCGAGAGGATCGGCAGGGACCTGATGGAGCCTGTGACAGTGAGGGTGGTTCCAGGTAAGCCGTGGTGTCCAGCTGGCTGGAGGTTTTGCTGGCTGGGACTCTTTTTGGAGAGGCTGCTGGCTCATGGGGCAGCAGTGGCCTGGGAGGAGGCAGCGATGCTGGAAAGAGCCCCTGGGACTCAGTATAAGCTGGTGGCAGAGGTTGGGAGGGGTGACAGGTTGCTTTCTCCTGGGATCCTTGCAGATGCAGGCAGAGTGTGCAGCAGCCCAATGCAGGGTCCAGCCCCAGGCTGGTTTTGGGGCTCCCAGCACCCATCACAGTGCAGGCAGGATGGCGGAGCCACCTGTTACATGCTGCAGTGAGTGCTCACACTGAGCCCCAGCACTGAGGCCAGGGAGTGCCTGCCCACCCCTGACAGCCAAATGATATAATATTGAGTTTCTAGACCAGGAAAAGGGGTATATCCAACCCGGATCACAGCAGGTGGAGAGATGTCTCGCCATGGGACACACAGCCCAGAGAAGCGGGGGGATAGCTGGGCAGGCAGGCGCAGGCAGGGCACATCCCACACGTATGCCGGCAGGGCAGGGGCATGTGCAGGAGGGGACATGGGCAAGTATTTGCCTGCTGCTGGAGGAGACATAGGGGACCCACAGTCACCTCCAGCCCCCAGTTCCCACCAGGACCTTTCATGCAGCTACCCCGGTAGCTCCCCCAGCCACCCCCACCCCCTGGATCTCCACCACCATGACGGAGCATCCCCCCACCGCGACGGAGCATCCCCCCACCACCACCGCGGGGTGAGCCTGGGGCCCTGGGGCACAGGGTGGGCGCGGGGAAGGGCAATGGCTCTCACTGCCATGGGCAGCAGTGGGTGTCCCTGTGCAAGGGGGCTTGTGGGGACACACAGGGTCTTCACCCGTCAGCCTGGGCATTTGGGGGGGATGCAGTGGGGTCCCAGGCTGTTGTCCCCACCTTGCATCCCACTCCATGGCTGGCTGCGGAGGGGCTGTGGGAGGGCAACTGTACACAGGGCACTGAAAAAGCAAAGCCCCAGCCTTGTGAGGGAGAGAACCAGCCCCGCTCCTCTCCCCTCACCTCCAGACTCAGGGGACCAGCCCTGAGGGTCCTGGTGCCCATCGTGGTCCTGCTCTCCCTCCTGGCTGCCGCCAGCTCCGCCGGGCTCCTCTGTGCCCTGCTCAGGAGGAGGGAAGGTAATGGTGCCTGTGCATGCCGTGTCCCAGGCACACCCCGGTGCCCTTCCGTACTTAAAGGGGGCCTACAAGAAAGATGGGGAGAATCTTTTTAGCAAGGCCTGTTGTGACAGGACAAGGAATAACGGATTTAAACCAAAGAAGAATAGATTTAGACTGGCATTAGAAAGAAGTTTTTTACAATGAGGGTGGTGAAGCACTGGAACAGGTTGCCCAGAGAGGTGGTAGAGGCCCCATCCCTGGCAACATTCAAGGTCAGGTTGGACGGGGCTCTGAGCACCCTGATCTGGTTAAAGCTGTCCCTGCTCACTGCAGGGGGGTTGGGCTGGATGGCCTCTAAAGGTCCCTTCCAACCCAAAGCATTCTATGTTTCTATGATTCTATGATTCTATGATCTGGGGGACAAACCCACCCTGAGCACAGGGCTGTGGGGAGCTCCCCCCTCCCAGCGAAACAGAAAACCTCCCCCCGTGTCTCTTCTTTCTGGCACACTGCCCCCTCACACCAAATTCCCTGCTGCCCCCTGCAAGCCGGGCACTGCCGCGCAGCTGGACCATGGCACCACGTACAACAATGACCTGGACCTGGCAGAGGTGAGGGCCCCTGATGCGGGCAGTGTGGGCAGTGCAGGCAGCATGGGCAAGGGGCCATGCAGTGAGGTTGCTCGCCCTGGGCAGCCCCCACACCACCCAGCCGTGCCCCAGGGCTGCAGAGACGCGCTGTCCCCTCAACAGGGTGGCTGCAGTGACATGAAGCAGGACCTTGAGCAGGAGGACAGTGGTATCTACACAAACACCCTGTGTCAGGAGGAGGTGATGGGGATGCTTGGCTGACATTTCCCAGGAGAAGAGGTTTCCCACTTGCCCTAGCAGAGCATCCCCTGTGGGCAGAGGGTCCCTGCAGGGCCACCCCGGGGGATGTCCCTGTGATCATCCCTGGAGACGTCCTTGCTGCAGCAGAGGAGGTGAAGGAGCGTTGCAGGAGGTGGCTGCTGCTGTCCCATCACCGTGGTGTCTTGGCGGTGTGACAGCCTCTGCCCATGGCCATGCTGGCACCAACCCCCAGCCTGCGGGACCCCAAGAGACCCCCACCCGTGTTGCTTTGTCAGATTGACCCGCACCTCTCGGCTGGCAAGGAACCACATCCCTGATTCCTGCACAGGCTGAGGAGCGGGGTGTTTTCCCAGCTCAGCGACAAGCAGGTTCTTTTGGGTTCAGATAAAGCCAATAAAGAAATTCTTCTGTGGGGGCTCGGTCTCGAGGAGAGAGGGGACAATCTGCTGCACCCATAGAGCCACTCTGCTGCTGTCATCCCCTTTGGGGGTCCCCGGGGCACCCCGACACTGCTGGGGCTGCGTTAGGAGGGGGCAATGGGAACCAACACTCAAAGCAAGGAAGAGGAGAGCGGCTGGGGAGGCAGCTGGAACTCTGGCTGCCCAGCCTTGCCAGAAAGGCTTATCAGCAGAAAGCAGGTTTGTAATCTCCAGCTATTCCTTGAATTTAGATCTTGCTACTACTTGCAGCAACTCAGCTCACAGCCCACACAGTGGGAATGAATGGGGTTACTTGATAATCAGAAGGAAAATGCAGAGCTTCCTCTTGCGATGGCAGGGGGACAGGGAGGGGATGGGATGGGGGAAGAAGCAGCCTCAGCCTCTGGCAGGGCCAGGGGTTTGTGCTTTCTGCTCTTTCCAAGGGGCATCGAGGAAGAAAGCCATCGGCAAGGCAGCTGCCAGGGAAGTGGCTTTCCTTTTTTGTGTTTGGGTTTCTGAAACTTTCAGTAGAAACATTTAATTTCAGGAAAAAAAAGGCATTGTCACTCAAAACCCACAGCTGTGCCAAAAAAAGGCATTTGCGGGGGGGGAAATGAGACACTTTGCTTGAGAAAACAAACAAAAGCAGCCCAGCTCACACTGGCAGCCAGCTCGGGAGCCAGGGAGCAGCAGGGACAGCTGTCCGTCATCCCAGTCCATCATCCCAGTCCATCACAACCAGCAGAGCATCCCAGTGGTCCCAACTGGTCCGTCCACAGGGGCTGACCTGCATTCACTTTCTCCCAGTCCCCGGACCTCTGCTCTGGCTTGGCCCCCCTGCAAAGCCCCCCGAAGCCCTTCAGGCTCTGTGCATGGGGAAGGGGCTGCAGTTCCCTGCTGGGACAGGCATTGTGGTGGAGGAACCCCCTGCATTTTGGCATTTTTCTGGGAACCAGTGTCTGTTTCAGAGCAAAAGCAGAGAGTCTGTCTCATGAGACACCCCTAGGGTGAGTCATGGTCTCCAGGGAAGGGCAGAAGTAATCACCTTTTAAAAAGACATCCAGAGTCTGTGGGTAAACACTGCCCAAGGAAGCAACATAAGAAGGAGGCTTGGGAAACTCTTGGGACACCGGGGTATGTGTGAACCTGCCTCCGTCCCGCAGGGTACTTCATGAATAACCATGGGGGAAAACCTGCATCGGGAGCGAGAAGCTGGAAAATGAGGATTTTCCTGGTTTGGACCCTTTTCCCAGGTGAGACCTGGGAGCACAGGTCAGGCGGTTCCCACCCCAGGGGCTCTGGCAGAGCTGTGGAGAGGCTGGGAATAAGCCAGCCCAGGAAGCCCACGATGGTCACGGCAGGAGCCCAGCTGACATCGTCCTTTTCGTGTGGCTAGTGGACAGCTACAGGGGGTGATCTCTGAGACACGCTTGCATTGCTGTCATATGAACCCTGGTGATAAGGCTTTTTGCTCAGTTAATAATACGCACGATTGATGGAGACTCTTTTTTTAATGACTGGGGACATCTCATCTCAGTGCTGCTGCCTGGTGCAGCAGGTGCACAGACACAGCCTCCCTCGGGACAGGGTGCCCCTGAGCATCCCGGACTCAGATTCCTCCGATCCCGCACACCTGGGCGCTGCTGCCAGGTGAGGCCAGGCTGCAGCCCCCGAGTCCAGAAGCGGCTCCGGGGGCGGCCC